ATAATACACCAGGCAGAGTCCCTGACCACCGAGAGAAGGGCCCCAGTACCTTGATGGTTATGAGACTCAGGAGGCTGCAGGATTTAGGGAGCAGGGAAGTGAGGTGATTCGTGTGGACAATCAACACCTGTGTGGGGAAGATTTGGGGCGCGTTAGCAGGAAGAGGAGTAGCCAGCAGGCCGCCAGCTCACTGCAGGGTACACCGCAGACCCCGCCTGCCCGCTGCCCTCTGCTCGCCCGGACACTGCCATGGAGGATGTGGCTCAGAATCGCAGAATCACCAAATGTGGAATCACATAACCTGAAAGCCTGTAATCTCAAGGGTGAAAGGGATCTTCGAGGCCTGATGCTACCTTCCATCCTGAGAAGGTCCCTGTGCAGCTGTCCTGATCTTAACCTCCCTCAGGGTCAGCACCTTCACGTGGGGAACAGAGAATAATAAAGTACTTGCCTCCAAGGGCTGCCGTACGATTAACCAACAGACAACGAGCACTGAGCCCAGGGCTGGCCTGGGGCCGAAGGCTCCATCCGTGCCATCTGTTGCTATTTTTATAGCACTGACCCCTGCATACAAACTTCCAGTGTCAAGGAGCTCACCGGGCTGTCAGTATGGAACACTTTTTACCTCCCTTCCTTAGAGAATTCAATTAGAATGCTCTGAGCTGTCTCCATGCAATGCTGCAATGTCTTTCTGAAAAATCATTCATTCCATTCTTAATCTCCGCTGGGTGACCAGGATGACGTAAGTACAGCTTTCATTATTATGAACAGCGAGGTCACCCCGCGTTTACTGAGGCAGGCCTTGTACCTGGCGCATTCCCGTCTCCATCTACCTACCTCCTGCCTGTCACTCTATTAATTCTCATGACAGCTCTGTCAGAGTAGGACTAACACTAGGAATGTCTTCATCTCACAGATGAAGAAACGGATCTAAGAGTTGGCGGAAGTTGCCCAACTCACGAGGGGCAAAGCCAGGATGTGACCCGGGACCGTTTGACATCAGACTCAACTCTTCCAACTAGGCAAACACTGGCTTCAAGCTGAAAGGGTGAGAATCAGGGAGAAGGGAGATGTCTATGCCAGGAAGACAGTGCCTCAAAGTCCCACTTGATTTCCAACAAGCAAACATGCAATAAACAAGCCTGTGAAAATGAAGATCCACGTTACCTTCTTCTGCAGAACTTTGCACGTTGCAAAAGCCCCATATGGAATCTAAGGGAATAAAAAGAAGAGTCAGCGCCTCCCTTCCTGCCGGTGGCACACAAGTGAGGGAGCGACGGGGCAGGAGGTGATCAAGTGCAAAATTCTCACGTGCAGAGCAGCGCTGAGCCGGGAGTGTGGTGCAGGGGAGGCTGGGGAGGAATGCTGCTGGGAGGTGGTCAGCCCTCCCCTGCAATCAGCTGGCAGGAGACTGCCCTGCCCGGCCCCAGCCCACACACCAGCCCCATCATGAGCTCTACCAGGGCAAAAGAAAAAGGCCGGAGAAACCCTGGTTCTTCCAGTTCCCTAGAACTCTGTGGGTGCATTTTCTAGACTCCCAATTCTCATAGACTATGTTGAGGCCACCAACCATCTCAATTCTTTTGAATAAGAACAAAATCCAAGAACACTTTACTCGACTAATGCTTCCAGTGTTTTAAAAGCCCCAGTCCACATCTGTCTTTCTTAGGGACATGTGATCCAAGATAAAAGGACCAATCAAATTCACAGCCAGAACACCAGCCCTGATTTACCTCCGAGAGCTCACACTTAGAGATGTCAAGAACGTCATCGGCCCCAGCTTCTTTTGCCTGCGAACAAAAGGAATAATAATAAAAAACAAAACGCCCTTGAAGAGCGGACAAACCAGCCAAAGAAACACAGGATCAAGGAGCTGTAAGAGACCAGCCACTGTCTGGTTCTGCGAGTCCCTTCTGCAGGTGCACCAATGACCTCTGCCTCAGTGGGGCTTGAGGTCCAGCACGGAACAGCAAGTGAACAAGTCACGACAACTGTCATCAGTTCCCTCAGGAGGGAAGCGCAAGGCACTCCTGAGTACCAGACAGGAGGCCTCACCGGCCTGCTTTGAGTCAGAGATCTCCTCTGGGGGTCAGGGAGACAGATGGGAGGGAGGGAGCACGCGGCTGGTGTGGGGGCAGTGTGGAGCCCAGTTCATGAGGGCAGGGGCGGAGATGGACTCAGAGGAAGCCCAGTTTCCCTCACCAGACACATCTGATACTCTAGGCGTTTCCGAGCCTCTTCACTGGGTTTCCGCTTCCGGAAGAAGAGCGGCATTCTTTCTTTCTCGCCCTGGAGTAATCTTCGGGATTCTAGGGCATAGGAGAGAAATCAGGGCCTGGGGAATCTGTCACACCCGGGACAGGCAGCACGCTAACGCAGAACACGGAGCTGATCTGCTGGACCGTGTCATCCCTGATGGCAGCATCTGCATCCATCTCAACCATCCATCTGGGCCGCGAGCCCCGCAGAGCAGGTCTTTCTATGGATGTCCTTTGAGAATGCATCAACAGACGGGACTGATCAATCACTTCTAGTTCCCAAAACACTGTGAGAGTGGCATCAACAAGCCAAACATGGCATCAGCTACATCGTAAGCAAAGAGATCTCTTAGTTGAATCAAAACTCCAAGGCAATCCTCAGCTTACCACCTTCACAGCTACCGTTGCGTCTGATTCTCACCACAGCCCAGTTTAAAGTGATATTGAAATGGACACATGAGCTCAGTGATCTGGTTAGATGGCCTGGATTGTCGCAAAAACCGTCTGGAGCTCTGTTCTTTCGAATGCTGACACTGTGGGGTTTGCCCAACTACTTCATGCTTGGATAACTTAGCACTTGCTAATTACAGTGTCCTGAACTCAGAAGCCAGGTGCTTACTGCCTACCCAGCACCTGCAACTCGCAGCGCAGATGAGGGTCATCAATGGGCCCAGGAAGCAATCATCCCGGGACGCTTGCAGTTAACAGCCCAGGCTTTGGAATGAAATGTAACCGGGTTTATGGAGGTTCCTCAAAAAATTAAAAATAGAAATACCCTACGACCCAGCGACTGCACTACTAAGTATTTACCCGAAAGATACAAAGGTAGTAATCAGAAGGGGCACCTGCATCCCAATGTTTACAGTAGCATTATCAATAATAGCCAAATTATGGGAAAAGCCCAACTATCCACCGATCGATGAATGGATAAAGAAAATATTCTGTATACACACACACACACACACACACACACCCACACACACAACCACATGAATATTACTCAGCCATCAAAAAGAACGAAATATTCCCGTTTGCAATGATATAGCTAGAGTATATAAAGCTAAATGAAATAAGTCAGAAAGAGACTAATACTATATGACTTCACTCATATGTGGAAATTAAGAAACAAAACAGATGAACATATTGGAAGGCAAAAAGAGAAAGAAGTAGACAAACCATAAGAGACTCTTAATGATAAAGAACAAACAGGGTTGATGGAGGTGGGTGGGGAAGGGGTTAAATGGGTGATGGGTATTAAGCCCTTGCTATGGTGAGCACTGGGGTTATATGTAATTAACGAATCCCTAAATTCTATTCCTGAAACCCGTATTACATTATAAGTTACTAACTAGAATTTAAATTAAAAAATTGAAATAAAAAAATGTAACTAACCATGTCCACCAACCATGTCACCTCTGTTCAATCTCTCTGAGCCTCAGTTTTCTCATCTGTATAATAATCTTACCAATACCTGGTTCTGGGAGGATCCAGTAATTTCATCTATGTAAAACTCATAGCACATTACCTGGCACATAATCATTGCTCAGTCAACTATCAGCCACACAGCACTATACATCTAACAAATGACTTATTCAGGGCCCACTACAGCTAGGGAGAAGATGCAGTTGAAGAAGATACAAACTCAGTCCTCAGGGGGAGGGCTAGAGATCACAGGTCTCCGCCCACAGGGGCGTGGGCAGTCTGGGGAGCCTGCCAACCTGCAAGCTGGCTCAGGCACCTCTTGTCACCCCACCTGCCAGCAGGGATGGGGATTAGTCTAAGAACAGCCCTCCCCCATCCATCCCTGGTGACAACTTCCTACCCTTCTGCTTCCCAAGGACTACCCCCGCATTCCCTCCCCAAAGTCCAGCCCTCCCACCACGTTCCCCACAGTGACCATCCCTTCTCCATCCCTCCCATAAGATCAGCTCCTCCCAATCTGCTCTCTGAGGTCCACCCTTCATCCATTCCTTCCACCGACTCCAGCCCAATGGGAAGAACCACACCCATTCTCCCCAGGCTGGAGTGGGGAGAGCCCCACCTGGCTTTGTGGGTGGACAGGTCCCCAGTGCTCCTTCCCTCGTGTGGACCGGAAACTAGGCAGATCACTCGGAGGGCTTGGTCATGAACACCAGCTAGCAGACCACCGGACATGAGCCCGGACGGAGCCGGAGTCTGGTTTCCTCCAAACGCAAGAGCTGGGGACCGAAACTCAGAATCTCAGAAAGTCATGCAGACAGGGATGACGAAGTCTGAGACTCTGAGAACAGTATAATTTGGAAATAGGAGTTAGATCAAATTTAGATCCGAATAAAATTGTTTCCATGACAAAAATGCACATATCACGAGGGAGCTAAAAGGGGACGCGGGGGGACCCATGGCCCTAGGGTCTCGGAATGGGGGTGCGGACCCCTTAGGGGAGGGGCGGGGCTTTCCGTTTAGGCTACAGGGACCAAAGGGTGACCCTCATGATAAGAGAGAACAGAGAACAGCGGGGCCCTGGAGCAGCCCTCTCTTGCCTGCCCCACCCCCAGGCGAACCTCCCCGAATCCCCCCAACCCCCAACCCTTCCCAACCCCTAGTTACAACTCACCCGGAGCGGGGTTCTCCAGCCGTCAGCCTCAGGCACCTGCCCACAAGCAACATGGCGGCAAGGGCGTCGCTGGGAGGCTGGGCGGAGCCAACAGGTCTCGCGAGAGTCGTGCTTTCCAGCTTATATCCGGCGCCGTCAGAAAGTCTTCCGGCCTTTTGGTTTTCGGCTAGGAGGAGGCTAAGGTGCAACTGTCTTCGGTCGTCCCGAATCCGGGTTCATCCGACACCAGCCACCTCCGCCATGCCGCCCAAGTTCGACCCCAACGAGATCAAAGTCGGTGCGTGCTTTAGATGTGGCTGGGGCTGCAAGATGGAGCATCCCTTCTACCCGCAGCCCCTCGGGCCTCGGGCCCAGCCGCCGTAGCCCTTCCCACGCCGGGCTTTTAAGTTGCTGCCCGCTAGAGGCCCTTCCAGGGCTGCGATCAGGGCGATGTGAGGTCCTGGCCGAGTCTCTTGACTCGTTCTGGGTCTCAGCTTCCCCACGTGTAAATGGGGAGGGAGGACCGGACGACCTGTGGTGGCTTTGCAGCACGCACGCCATAGGGTAAGGTTTGTGCCCGGGCGCTCCTCCCCGCCACTGGGTTGGCCGGCGGCCGAGCTGCCTCCCGCCGGCCCGGTGCGGATCTCGTTAGCCGTAGCAGAGCCGAAGGCCGCTGTCCCACGTGGCGCTTGGAGCGATCCACGCCAGGGAGGACGCGACTCGCCCGCTGCGGGTTGGGTGGCCCTTCTGCTCTCTGCTGAGGCTCTCGGTGCTGTTTCGAGAGCTGACAAGCGGTGAGGCCAGCCCCAGAAAGATTCTGGGAGAGAAGGCTGTGGCGCGGGAGCTCCTCTTGCAGCGACACTGATGTTTTCTTTCTCCCAGTGTACCTGAGGTGCACCGGTGGCGAAGTTGGCGCCACGTCTGCCCTGGCCCCGAAGATCGGCCCGCTGGGTCTGGTAAGTCATCCTCGTGGAGGACGGTTGCTTAGGTTCCACACTGCGGAATTGGCAATCCCTCCTACACCTCCTCTGAAGTGGAAGTGCCCCGGTAGGAAGCTCATACACGAGATTGGAAAGTGCTGCTTTGAAGCTGTAACTTCCACTCTCCAGGGTCAAGATCCTAACTGCGGCCTTGAGCATACCTGAGGCGTGGGCCAGAGGTCTTGCCTGACGGTTTAGAAGGTAGCTCAGCGCCACTTGGCAGCCTGCTTAGCTAAATGTGTTCTAGTCAGGGCAGTGGGCCTATCACTGATGCGGTTAAATTTATCAGTAGAGAGTGTTAACTGGGGTATGAACTGAACATAGTAGTTTGTGTAACCTACTCCTTAATATGACCAGCTTCACTGATGACCCTGTTTATCCACTTCTCCAGTTCATGCTTTTACTGAGCTTGCATTTCCCTGAATATCATTAGGCTTTTATTCCTTGGACATTGGTCTCCTGAACCAAACACTACCCACGTGGTCTTGCTTAACTATGTGGTTAAGCACGTTTCCTTGGCTCTCCGTGTAGCTGGCAACAGCCGAGCATCTTTCTTGTTGAGGCTGATGGTTGTTCAGAAGTCTTAAGTAGCTGATGCCCGGATCCCATCCTTGCAGAAACCTGGTGTCTATAAAACTATCCAGGTGATTTGGTGGATATAACTAGCATTGGAAAGTCCCGCATTATCACATGGGTCCTTACGGGAGGGTAGGTGGGTAGGTAAGGGACGTGGCCATTTTATGACATTGTCTACTACTGTGATAGCCATGCCTTGATTTGGTAGGTGCAGTTCTGTGCTTCAGACAGTGCCCTGTGCTGGCTTGGGGTGTTGGCTAAATGAGCGGGATGGGTTTTCAGACTATACTTCGAACTTAAGAGACCAGTGTGATATACCTTTTTTCCCTCTAGTCTCCAAAAAAGGTTGGTGATGACATCGCCAAGGCGACTGGTGATTGGAAGGGTCTAAGGATTACTGTGAAGCTGACCATTCAGAACAGACAGGCCCAGGTACTTGGTTTGAGGGGAAGGGCAGAGGTAGCAACCCTCTGGGATTCCTGGGGGGGAAGGTTTTTGCCACCTGCCCCCAGTGGTGAGCTGAGGGCAATTTTAAATGGGGGTGGGGAGGCTTTTTTGAGAGTCTGGTCAAGAAAGAGCAAAGATGTGGGCCTGATACTAACTCTTGTCACTTATGTGACATTGGGCAAAGTGCTTTGTGTCTCTGGGGCTCGGGCAGGTTTCAGGCTGTGAAAATAACTCCAGAACGTACAGCAAACGCAGTCTGGCCCATATATTTTGAGAGCCTGGTCGCATGGCTGTATTGACCGTCTTCATTGGAGCTTGGAGTGGGGCTTATTCACATGGACAATCTCTTTTGCAGATTGAAGTGGTACCTTCTGCCTCTGCCCTGATTATCAAAGCCCTCAAGGAACCACCAAGAGACAGAAAGAAGCAGAAAAACAGTTGAGTGGCTTTCTCCTTGGTAATTTGTGAGTGGTAGATCTACCCACCGTGATAACCTAGTGGCATGTTTTCCCTTTAATGAACCTGGGTGGGGGCGCAGCGGGAGTTGATAAGCTGTTAGAGAGCCAGGCACCACCAGGAAGTTTCCCGTGGCTCCCCAGTGCCGGGCATGGGGCTGGCCCTACTCAGGGCACGCAGGAGGGAAAGAGGGTGAAGTGGTAATGGTAACCAGTAATCAGACCACTTCTGAGCTAACCTAAACCTGTCCCCCTTTTTTTCATGTGTTAAACTGTCTCCTTTGTGTAAGATTAGCAGAGACTTGATTTTGCCCCAGCCACCCGCCACTGCACCTGATCAGTTTCTGTTGGCCGGTGCGGTCCAGTGGTGAGCTGAGAGTAAACCCCAGCTTAGGAAACAGGGTTGTTCTTCATGTGGATGACTCTGTGCCGAAAGCATGGGAACAGCCTGGAAATAAAGACGAGGGAGCACGTGATGTGGTCTGCTCTGGCCTTGGGTTGTGACCAAGCTTATACTTCTTCTTTTCTGCAGTTAAGCACAGTGGTAATATCACTTTCGATGAGATCGTCAATATTGCCCGACAGATGCGGCATCGATCTTTAGCCAGAGAACTCTCTGGTAAGTGGACAACATTGTTATATGGGGCATATGCACCGAGTGGTAGCATTTCCCAGTTTGAAGGGACAGTCACTGTAAGACCCACAGTTGGGGTGCAGAATGGCTTGACATCAGTGAATATTTGGGGCTGGATGTGTTTAAATCTGGGTGTCAAGGGAGCCGTGGAGACTGCGTTAAGGGCTTACAAAACTAAATGGACTTCTGATTGTTGGATTAGAGAAGTAGGGATGTCTGTCATTCCATAAAATAGGGTTAATCCCTCAATGCCTGCTGTGATTTCCCTATGGGTATCTGAGGACTGTGAGGGACTGAAGCTCCTCTGATGCTACTTTTCTTACTTCCAGGAACCATTAAAGAGATCCTGGGGACTGCCCAGTCTGTGGGCTGCAATGTTGATGGCCGCCACCCTCATGACATCATAGATGACATCAACAGTGGTGCCGTGGAATGCCCAGCTGTAAGTGACCCCTGTTTTACTTGGGTAAAGCAGGGTGAGAGCTGGAGGAAGGCTGGAACAGTTCTAGAAATGGTCAATAGTGGGTTTGGACTATGAGATTTTTTTATTCTATTGACATATTTCTTTTTTCTCTCCCACAGAGTTAACTACAGAAGAGAATTATTTCAATAAAGGATCATTTGACATCTAGTGGACCTTTTGATGTGGCCTCTTCCTTGCGGGAGCTGGCTCCTTTGTGGTCAGAAGAGGGGCCAGTGGGGCAGAACCTGTGGCAGAAGTAGCAGTTTGGGTAACAAGCTTCTGGGTGACAGACGGCCGCCCTGTATGGGACTAGCTCAGAGGAGACACCTAGAAGGGAGGCCTCAGTGCTTTTCTTGTAGGCCATATACAGGCATAGAGCTCTTCATAAGAATAAAATTCTTGGCCAAAAAGACGACTTGCACGTCAGCATGAATACATGGCAAGGAATCTATGCCAGACCAGTTTAAATCCTGAGGGGGCCCATAGCCCTCCACGCAGGCAAGTGTTCACTATCCATTCCAGTGTACAGCCAGGCTTCAGAAGCACTGAATCTGACCTTTGTCTTAAGTCCTTAAGGGTCATTTTCTAGTGGCATGTTTTTGCCTTTCCCAAGTCTCTTATTAGCCTCTCATGATTCTTTCTTTGAAGTGAGGTGAATGTGGAAGATGAACCAAGGTATCTGCATGCTGGGGTGAGCTATATCTGAGTAGCTCAGAGGAGCTTCTGGATACCAGCCTAAAGCGGGGGGCGGCTTGGGGATAACCCAGGAACTTAGCTTCCTTGGCATTAGTCATATTCTTGCTTTACATAATTTTGTCAATAGGCCTTTAAAGTAGGTGGGTTCTCCCCGCCTCCCCCCCCCCCAAGCAGGGTTGGAGAACTATAATGGGAAGGATTACCTGAGAACTCAGGTCAGTGAAAGGGAAGGATAAGCCTTCTAGGACCTGTGCCAAGTGACCAAGAACCAAAGCTGGAGGCCTTGGGTGGTGAAAGCTGAATCTGAAGTCAAAGGGTCACCTAACCCCAAACCACAAGGGTTTACTGTGGAGATGAGGTCGCGTTGGCTCTGTGAGGATGGTATGCCAAAGGTGAGACCCAGCAGGGGAGAAAGAAACTCCCCAATAGTGAGAATCTTGCTCTAAATTAAACTTCTTCAGGAAGAGAAGTGAAGGACCCACTGGCCTGTGAAGGAAGGACGGTGGACACCAGGTTGTCCTTCTGGCCCCTTAGAGGGATGTACTTTGCTGAGGGATTTCACTGGCTTCCTCTGGACATGATCAGCCTCTTCTTCCCTTTTGGGTGTTTTCTTTGTAACAGTAGCAAACACCTGAACATCATCCTAAGTAGAGATTGGGCCTAGCAGTGTCTAGATTTTCCTATATAGAGCTTTAAAGAGTAGATATCCTGCTCCCACTGTCGATGAGACTATAGCATGTCCAATCTTTCCTCACTTGAATTAGTCCCCCCAAATCCTCTTTGGCTCCATTATGGAAACTTCATTCCTATCTAGTGTTGGTTCTTTTAACAGCCCTCATTCAAGAACTAACCATCACCCAAACACCTGGCCTTTAAGAGGAAACCAAGTCAGGGCACCTGGGTGGCTCAGTTGGTTGAGTGTCTACCTTCACCTTTGGGTGATTCTGGAGTCCTGGGATCGAGCCCCACATCTGGCTCCCTGCTCAGCGGGGAGTCTGATTCTCCCTCTCTGCTCCTGTACTCTTGCTGTCTCTCAATTATCTTTAAAGAAAAAAGAACCAAGTTCTTCACTCACTGACACCTTAATCTTTATAAATCAAGGTTCCTGCAGTGCTTGCTACACAAAAAGCAGCTTGGCTCACTGAATAAAGGTAAGTCTCCAGTATAATTTGATGGGTTGTTGATGCTTACTGAAGAGTTGAGAAAGAAGAGAGCTCCCGAGACCTTCCACCTGCGACATGTAAAATCGGGACTCTTTATTAAAGGTGCTTTTGCGTGTGGCTCTGAGCTACAGACTGTAAGGTCCCAGGTCTCCACAGGTTTTCAGACTACCTGCATTTCCTGCCAGGTCCCCACCCACTTTGGTCCTCTGGTTACTCCCCAGCGTGGAGTCTCTGGTGTCTAATGAAGGCGGAGCTACACCGGAAGGCCTTGCCACACTCCCTACATTCATAGGGCTTCACACCAGTGTGAATCCTCTGATGCTGACTAAGGGACGAGCTCTGGTTAAATGCCTTCCCGCACTCATTGCACTCGTAGGGTTTTTCTCCCGTGTGAATTATATGATGTCGGATAAGGGCTGAGCTCTCACTGAAAAACTTCCCACACTCATTACATTTATATGGCTTCTCCCCAGTGTGGGTCTTCTGGTGGATGATGAGATTTGTGCTTTGGCTGAAAGCCTTCCCACACTCGCTGCACTTGTAGGGCTTCTCTCCTGTGTGAGTCCTTTGATGGTTTGTGAGGTTTGCGCTCTGGCTGAAGGCCTTCCCACATGCCCCACATTTATATGGTTTCTCCCCAGTGTGGATTCTCTGATGCTGAATAAAGGCGGCACAGTAACTGAAGGCCTTCCCACACTCACGGCACTGGTAGGGCTTCTCCCCCGTGTGGGTCCTCTGGTGGTTTGTGAGATTCGCACTGTGACGGAAGGCCTTCCCGCAGTCGCTGCACTCATAGGGCTTCTCCCCGGTGTGAATTCTCTGATGCTGAACAAGGGCTGAACAGTCACTAAAGGCTTTTTCACACTCACTACATTTGTAGGGCTTTTCTCCAGTATGAGTTCGCTGGTGCTTTGTGAGGTTTGCGTTCTGGCTGAAGGCTCTCCCGCATTCACTGCATTTGTAGGGTTTCTCTCCGGTGTGAATCCTCTGGTGCTGAATAAGAGATGAGCTCTGGCTGAAAGCCTTCCCACACTCGTTGCACTCGTAGGGTTTCTCCCCAGTGTGGCTCTTCTGGTGCTGAGAAAGGGAGGAACAGTAACTGAAGGATTTGCCACATTCGCTACAAGTATACGGTTTTGCTCGGTGGGGCTTAATTATAGGGGAATTCTTCCTGAAGCTCTTTGGATGTGCTTCCCATTTCCGGTGTCTCACTTCTGTGGGAACTCTCTGTTGTGGAGAAAGGACTGGTCTCAGGTTGAAGCTCTTCCCCAGGTCACTGTTCCTGTGATCTGACTCCCCAGGGGGCAGCTCTATACTTGGGTCTTGGAATGAATCTTCAGAAATTTCATGCTCGGGTGGTGATTCAGACATAATCTTCCAGTCTGAAAAATATTTAGAAAAGCATTTTGCCCCCCTTCGGTGGAAGAAAAGGTACTACCGAAAGACAAAAGGCTGATGGGGTTTGGTCGAACTTCTGTGCGGACAGGCCTGATGCTGCCTCCCTCTCACCCGCAATACTGACCACGATGGCTCTTTAGATACGTCAGCGTGCCTGACTCCCTTTCCTGACCTGCCAGGGATGCAGAAGTTTACCCCAATCTCCCTCAGATGCAATGTTCCCTTCCACATTTCTGACCCCTTCCTCCACTTTGGCAACTACTGGACAGTCTCTACTTGTCTTCTTAGTCTCACAATTCTTGGTCTGGATTTGGCAATCTGCTTACCAGGTTTAAATAATTCACTTTAAAAAGCTGATGGCCAATGCCAGCAAGATGAATTCTTTCACCTATCAAATCAGCTACATTTCAAAATTCTCGTGTCGGTAGGAATGCAGCATCATGAGATCTTCTGCAAAGCCATCTGGTGGCATGTGTCAAAGAGTCTTTAAAATGCTGACATAAGAACTGCACCTGTAAGAATCTGTCCTAAGGAAGGACTGAAAAATTACACAAAGCTATGTTGAAAAAAGTGCTCACAGCATTATTTGCCAAAGAAAAGCAAACACCCAAATAAATGTTTAATAAAGGAATGACCACAGTAGAGCCAATATAGGGACCCTATTTAGCAATCAGAGGCCATGTTTGAAATGGGCACACTACAGATCCTTTTGCAGAAAGGTATTTACTTTAAAAAACACTGCAAAGATACACAGTATGAGTGTAAGCTGTGTTGTCTTTGGGTTGTGGCACCAGGGGCAATTTTTATTTTCTTCAATGCTTATCTGTATTTTCTAATGTTTTCCAATGTCAGTATTATAATAAAAGTTATAAAAAAACTTTCAGAGAACATGTAGTGATAGAAAGAAAACTACTGTTACATGAAAAAAAGAAGCATGTAAACTTACACACTGTTATTTCTACGTTAGAAGAATGTACAAGTTCTGGTCTGAGCCTCCCCATTAGGGGGCACCTGGCTGGCTCAGTGGCTAGAGCTTGTGACTCTTGATCTCAGGGTCATGAGTTCGAGCCTCACATGGAGGGCGGGTAGAAATTACTTAAAAAAGAAAACTTTAGAAAACAAAGATAAAATTATCACTGCATTTTGTTATATGAGGAAGATGGAAGGGATGACAGGGACCTTGATTTTTTTTTATCCTGTTCCAAATCTCAAGTTAACCTATTTTACTAAAAAAAGTCATTTTTAATAGAATAAATAATACTGCTTTTATAATCAGAAAATAGGTATTTTTTAAAAGAAGAGTTAATGATTCTTAACCCTTTATGGGATCTCCCTCATTTTAAGAGAAAACTTTAAAATGTGAGTGTAATGTAGGATATTTGGAAACCGAAGCATATGGCCCCACGCACTGCTGTCTCTGGCCCTGGTACTTGCACATAAGAGGGCGGAGTTTCAGGGAGGGCTACGGAGTTTCCTTTCTCAAGGGTTAATTTTTCTGAAGATTCTTTCAGTTTCTACCTTATTTCTCAGAGGAAAGAATAGCAAGGTTAGTTCTGGGTGACCTTTACTTGAATTTCTATATGGAATCTTGACCCAGATAGCTTGGGTTTAAATCCTGACGCCACCTCTCACTAGCTATGTGATTGTGGGCAAATTATTAACCCATTTCTTGGAGGTATTATCTGTAAATGTAGCTCTCACAGAATTACTGTGAGAATTAAATGAGTTAAAACGCATAAGGGACCTGAGGGATAGTTAAATGTCATATGAGTGCCTGTTATTATCTTAGGCTTTTTCCTTGTAAGCCTTCTGAAATGGCTTCCCTCCAGAGTGCACGTGTGTACTAACGCCCAATCCACCATGCGCACAGCAGTCCCCATTTTGGGTTCAGGGCGTCGCCATGTAATTCAGTATCT